GACGGATCCGTTCCGAGGCGGAGCTGCAGCAGCTGCGGCAGGCGGCCAACGTGCGCGAGCGGCGGCGCATGCAGTCCATCAACGACGCCTTCGAGGGGCTGCGCTCGCACATCCCCACGCTGCCCTACGAGAAGCGCCTCTCCAAAGTGGACACGTTGCGCTTGGCCATCGGCTACATCAACTTCCTCAGCGAGCTCGTGCAGGCCGATCTGCCACTGCGCGGAGGTGGCACGGGAGGCTGCGGGGGCCCGGGCAGCAGCAGGCGCCTGGGTGGAGACAGTCCGGGCAGCCAGGTTCAGAAGGTCATCATCTGCCATCGGGGCACCCGTAAGTGCGCCCACGTTTCTATTCAGGGAGATGAACCTGGAAGGGACTGGGGACGGGGTGGACGGATGCAGACGGAGGCGCGGACGCACAGATCGCCAGTGGGCACCAGTAGCCATCAGTGGGCAAGCTGGGGTCCAAGCTTTCCCAGGGTTTTTGTTCTGACACTTGGACAAGGCTAGGAGGGCACGCGTCCTCGCCAGATCTGTAGCTCCTGTGGGATTCCAAAGAGAGGGCTCTAAAGGGTGGAGGGATGGAGTGAGAGGGTTTCTCTGGTGTAGTGGAGAAGCTTTGAGGGGATCCTAAAGGACCCACAGGGGACCAATGGAAATGTGGTTGGGTTTTTCAGTCTGCTTTCTCTTCCTCCCCAGGGTCTCCTTCCCCCAGCGATCCGGATTATGGCCTCCCACCCCTAGCAGGCCACTCTCTCTCCTGGACTGATGAAAAGCAACTCAAAGAGCAAAATATAATCCGAACAGCCAAAGTGTGGACCCCCGAGGACCCCAGGAAACTCAACAGCAAATCTTTCAACAACATAGAAAACGAACCGCCTTTTGAGTTTGTGTCCTGAGAAGTCCTTCCCCGCCCCCCCCCAAAAGTTCTCAGGGCTGAGGATCTGATTATATCTCTGTGCATATTGTACATGTAAATATCTATAACGTAAATGTAATTTAAGAATCACGTTTTCTAATGGCAATCAACTGTTATTTATCTATTTATTATCCTGTCGAATTGATGGAATAGATTATCACTTGTCGAATATATAATTTATATAATTTATCCTGATCTTTTTTCTAAAAAATATGCAATAGCCAATGATTTCCCTGGCACCTTTGGGCAGAACTCTGAGTTGTTGGAAGAACTCTAGCCAGTAAACTTCATGCTTATTTATTGCCAGATGTGGTTTATTACTAAGCATTGTTAATAAATTTTGTTTACACCTTTTTCCCTAAAAGTTGTTTCTTTAGACTGTGAAAAAGGCATACAACTCTAAAAAGAATTAACTTGGTAAATTAAAAAAAAAACGAAATCAGAGAGTCAGATTCAGAAACCACATTTGGATTTGACCTGAAAGGAAGGGGTTTGAACCTTAGCTCTACATCTGCACTGCCTCCCACGAATGTTAACAACTCTGCCTTTATTCATATCCTATGAAACCCCCATGAGACAAAGGAAATGTGGAGTACTTATTATTCCCATTTTTCAGAGGGGCAAGTTGAGGCTCAGAGATGGTGTTGCACCCACCCTGCGTATTCCTAGTGTGAATGGACTGCACCCAATGGGATCTAGGGACTAGTTTCTGCATTAGGCCAGAAGAGGGACCTTTCTGCTTCCACGGGTTGAGAGGAGAAATGGTTGCTTTTGAGATAAAGCTACACCCCTTCCACAGTTAACAGCTTTTGGAACCTGGGACAGGGCAGGCAGGAATGCTGACCATGGGGGGGGGCGGGGGGGCGTTGTGAAAGGGGAGAGTGCAACAAAATCCAGTTGCTGAGTTTTCTTTCTTTTTTTTTTAAGTAAAGAAGGATCTCATCTGCTCCTTCTGCCACCTGTAAAACTAGATTATTTCTAAACCTGCCTTCCATTAGCCTTCACGCACATTTTGGAACTCGGAAGGAAGGCCAAGCCTGGGGCGGAGGGCTCAGGATCGCCCCCTCGCGGTAGGGAGATGAACCGAGGTGAAGGCCAGGGTGTTCAGCCAGAAAGCTCAGGGAAGTGGGAGCTGGAGCTAGTCTGGCCCCCCGGCCGGCCACAGGCGCCTCCTCGACCCTCTAGACCCCATCAGAGTGGGCTAGAGCCGAGGTACCAGGTGACGGACCACGAAGCTGACGCTGGCGCGCATAGGCGCAGACCAGGAGACACGCACCTTAGTGTGGACCCAGGGTCTCCTTGGCGTGCAGTCCCCCGCCAGGTGAGCTGCTAACTTCCTGGCTCAGCAGCGGCCTGGTCAGTCTAGGTGCAATCGCCAATCATCTCCAATCCCTACGGCCTGGCAAGAGGACAATATGCGGGCAGCATGCTAATTGCTTTAACCTAGTTTCAGACCCACCGAGGGATTCCCCGCGCGCCGCGGGTGCTATGGACTTGGTCCAAGAGTAATTAAAGCGAGGCTGCCAAGCTGACCCCACAGAGAGGCCTGGCTAGACACGCGAAGATTCTGGGTCGCGAGACTCCCAGGAGACACCCTTGGCCATGGACCTTTCACTCTCTCCAGTCTTCCCATCCTCTCCCGTCCCCACCCCCCAAAAGATGACTTCACACTGGAGAGGATTTGAGAACGAGGAGAGGGGGAAAAAATAATTCGATTTTGTCTTGTATTAGAGCCTCATTAAACACGAAAGTTGCTTTTGCACAAATGCCCCCATCAGGCATGTAATCTCATTACACTCATTAGAAAGTCAAATGTTTAGGCTTCATTATAAGGTAGGGAAGTGTTGTGCCTTCTTTTTCTGCACTCTGTAGACCTGTCCTTCCGTTTGGATCTGGCAGCATAGAACTCCTCCGTTAAAACACTACAACCATTGTGATGTGGTACCTTTTATTTTGCGTGCCACTTATTTTTTGTGTGTGTGAATCAATGCAGCAACACATCCTTTAGTGCAGTGCAGATGAAGCGGAAGGGGCGAGCTGAGCATGCAAAACACCAGGGGCTCTATCTTGTCACTCTCGTGTCCTGACTTGGCAAGTCCCTTTAAGCACAACCTTCAAAGAGACTGACAGTTTCTTTTTATTTACTCATAATCCATTCATTCTAGTGTAGCAATTCTTTTTTTTAAAAAAAATGCAACACTAAGAGCAGAACAAACGTATCATTTCAGAGTCCCCTTTGGCGTCAGGGAGCCTGAAGGAGCACCGAGTACTGGGGTGACTTGCCTTGTGGCAGATCCAGGCTAGCCTGCCTCCAAGCCTGGGGCATCTCTGGCTCATAAATACAGCCTGGCACTGGAAGGACCATGTGGGGGTGGTTTGAGTGATAGATATTCAGAAGTCAGAAGTCAATACTTTCTCCCATCTAAAAATGCATATGAAAATCTGAGTAAGGCAGAACTGTGGGTGAGCTATGGAGAGATGTTGTTTTGTTATTTAGTTGTTGGTTGTTGTTGTTGTTGTTGTTTTCCAGGCCCTCCTCTTCTGAACACTCATCAGCCCTTGTGTTGAAACCCAGCTTGGGATCGCTAAAGGAAAAATTGTAAAGTCTCCCCTGGTTACCTTTGTTCATTTAGCATAATAAAGATGCGCCAGAACCAGTATTGGGTATACTTCATGATCTCTACTGGAGAGCTAGCCAAGTTATTCCCCAGCAATTTTCATAAGCTGTTGCTTGTGGTTGCGGGAGGGGGGCAGGATCAGAGAGGACATGATATCAAGTCTTCAGTGAGGGGATTCAGAGTGCTGTGTCCTTCCCTCCCTGCCCCACACCAAACCCCCTCCTGCCAAACCCAAATCCTCAGCCCCAGCCCATCCTCCTGGCCTATCTCCCAAGCTGCTGGATCACGCAGCCTAGGTATGAGTGCCAATGACAATATGTTGCAAGACCCCTCCCCCCTTCTTCTCACTCCTTACACTTCAGATCAGTGTCCCCTCATGGTTGTGACCTTAAAGGATACATCTCATCCAAAAGTGCCTTTCCCTTTTCAGAGGCTATAAAGCCTGAGCCCTGTTCCTCTTCCCTTTGCTTCTGGCCAAGGCACTTCCGGTTATGAGGTGAAATGAAGTGGAGTGGGGGGGGGACGGACTCTTAAAGGAAGAAGGTCAAAAGAAGGACTTGGGAGGGAGCCACTTCTGCACCCTGAGCTCGGCAGATTCGGGAATGGAGCCCCCTGGTGGAGCTTCTTCCTTCCTATGGTGGAGGTCCTGTGAATTAAAAACTCTCCTAATAAGTTGATTCTTTGGGTCCAGTGTGGCCCAAACAAGTAGGTGGGAAAGAGAGTGTCTCCCACCCCAGGCTGGAGGCAGAGCGCATAAAAGGCCTTGTTGGAACCCCTGTGAAATTGGCTGCCAGCGATTCCCAGGACTGCTCATCTGCCAGTACCAGGATTAACGCCCTCGGTGGAGAGGGTGTGAAGCCTCTTAAATCCATAAACTCATCCCATTTCCATTAATGGGCCTTTGCGGTGGCACCGAGTACCAGCTGCGAGGTTGAACAAACACCAGTTGAGTACTCTCTGGCGAATGTCTCTGGGAAGAGCCCTCCCTCTCGCCCTCACCCTCCCTTTCCCAAAGCTGCAGAAGCAGCCTTGTGGGAATGGTCCTAAATAATTCCACCACCAATTGCGTTTTTGAGATCTGGAACCACTGGTAGGAAACGATTCCCACGACGGGATGTGAGGGCTGGCCAACAGGTGTTCGGATTTGGCCCAGGGAGATGGGGAAATTCAGGGAAAGACACAGGCTTGCCAGAAAGCAGGCTGCCCAGGGCCTCCCGGCTTTACAGGCCGTGGAAGCGGCAAACAATCGAAATGATATCTTTATTGCTAGGTTCATGTCCTGGGCTATAACATATCAATCCCTGTCGTGGTTCTCTAGGATGCACCTGGTATTTCAAACTTGTTCTTTTTGTGCTTCTGGGTCCTGGACTGCAGCTGCCTAAAACAAGCAAAGAGAGAGGCCCTTACAATGTCTCCAAGACGTGTTGGCATGGTTTGCCTGTCTTTAATGTACCATTAACTATTGTCTTTACACAATATGGGAACTGTAAAGCATGACATGTGTTATAATAAAACACATTTTCAATGATACACTTGGACTTGAGGCTGGGGTGTAGCAAACAAACAGGCCCAAATCTTGTTTTGTCTCCCTTGCTAAGCTTACTGGCAATTAAACTTAAGACCACAGTTTTCCCCCACTCCTGACCAGCCAATTAAGTTTTATGTCTCCTAATTTTTCACATAGAAAAAAAAAGTCTCCGTGCTGGCCCCTAAAGACATTGATTTTCTTGCTATCACCTGGCGCTCAGACCTTAGTTCCATTTATCAAGAAGGGAAACGTCAGGCGTAGCATAAAGTGACTCTGTTACCATAAGGCTCTCACCATCCTGGTCTATTGTTTTCCCTTGTTAATAACTCATTACCAGGATTTAACAAATCAACCATTACATATGTTTTGTGTCTCCATATTTTGATCCGTACGATTAAGCAGATGTTACGATTGAAAATTGAAAAGTCCAAGGCTACTCTAGTCTGAAAGAAAGAGGGCAGCCTCAAACAACGAGCTAACAATGAGATTCAGAAGATCTTCAGAAAAACATTTACCACCAATAAACAGACTCCAACCTGCTCCATTTCAAGCATTGTGTGCTTTGGGGGAATAATTAAGTTTAATAGGAATAGGTCTGGAGGGTTTTCAATGCCAAGACCACAGGTGCGGGGTGGCATGATGAATGATTTGCCTGATTTTTGCCAAGCTCAAGGGCTCTTCTCTTGGACTTTCAAGCAGATAGAAAATATTGTCATTTCTTTTAATTCACAGCATTACTTTCAAACCGAACAAAGGCCTGGGCCGAGGGGGGAGGCGGGGGAAGGGCTCGGCTGTAATGAAGCGCCTCGGAGGCGGAGGTGCAGCCGAGGAGGCTGGGGCGTCGGCGGAGCGCGCTGCTGCGTTTGTGCGCAAGTGACTCTCCTGTGCCACACACAAAAGGCTTCCCTCTCCCCACCTTCTGCCGCCTTTCAGCCCTCGGGCCCCAGTCGAGCTGGCTCAGGGGACTCTAGGAGAATAGTGGCCTCATACCCAGGGCGGCCTGGCCTTTGGGATGTCCGCCGCTGCCAAGGCAAACCTCGCCAAATTTTCCCCAAAGTCGGCGGGTTGGGGAGGGACCCTGGCCGGAGGCGCGCATGCGCCCCGCCTGCTGCACGGAGTTGCCGGGGTTTTAGAGAGCCGGGGTGGAGTCAGAGGAGTCTCCCCAGAGGCCTGCGTTGCCCCTGCTCCCGGAATAGTCGGGGTTCGGGTGCTGGCTGGCTTCCCTTGGGGTCAAAGTTGCTGCCCCAGCGCCTAGCTCTACGCAGTTGTGCTATCTTTGCGCATGGAAGTCTCCAAGAGGGGCTCCGGGAGGTGGCGAGCAGAAAGTGGGGCGATCGGCCGGAAGGAGGCCAAAAGTTGGGACCCTAGGCTTCCCCTAAGGAGACCGTGGACAACTACGTCCCTTGGCCCGTCGGGAAGCCCTGGAGCAGCCGCATGCCAAGGGCTCCGTGGCCCAGGGCGCAGGTTGTGGCGAGCTGGTTTTGTCTAGGGGCCGAGGCGCCAGCGCTAGCAGCCACCGTGGCTGGGCGCAGGTTTCTCTCCGGTCCGGCTTGCAGGTTCTGGAGACTCTATCCTTGCTTCCCAGGGAGTCTTGGCCCTTGCGTGGTCCCAGCAACTTAACACCAACTCCTTCCCTGGTGGGGCAGCGCCAGTTCCAAACAACCTGTTGCGCCGCGGTGGCTTTGGAGAGGCGCCGACGCTTGGCCTGTTGGAGGCGAGTTGTGTGGAGGCCCCCAGTCTCTAGTAAAGAGTTTAGGGTTCCCTACTTCTGAGAGTCACCCCCCTCCCAACTTCTCCTGCCACGCAGTGAGTGTGTCAACCCCTTTCTGTGTCTCAGCAGCCCCTGGCTTTCTGGGTACCCCTGCGTCTCGCCCTGTCTAAGGACTTCTCAAGTAGCTCTCTGCAGTTTGGGTGGCAGGATTAGACAAAGATGGGGATTAGAGACACACCACCGGCTAATTACATCTTCTCAATTTCCCGGCTCGCCACCCCCCACCCCTGGCATTCAGATTGAGATCTCTGGTCCCCTACCCCCACCCCAGGCCTTGTGTAAGTGCTGGACCAAGAAAGCTAGTTCTAATCGCGCTCCCGTGGCACTTGGTGGTGGTCTTGCTCTTAAAGATTATTTTTTTCCCCTGAAATGTTTCTAATTTTGAAATTTCTCTTCAGCGGTCGCACGGCATCCCCTTTAGCTCCTTTTCTCGTTTGGGTCACCGAGTGTCTCCTAAACTGGTGGTCAGTACACGCCTTTGGAACTGGACTTGCAGGGCTAAGTCTACTAGGGGATGGTTCTAGAAGTGTTATTATGAACTCCAGCTAGGCAAGCGTTGGCATTTGAATTTTTTAAAACTAGAAATGTGCTCCCACTAGGGGTACTCAAAAGAAATTCATTTCCTGCCGTTGATCCGTGACATTTTTTTAAAACGTGCCCCTTCTAAATGAGGGGCGTTGCTGGCCTGCAACTGCAGCACGAACACGGGCGCGTACAATGAAATGTGGGGGCTCACCAGTTAGCCTCCGTGGCCATAGCACATGCAGCTTCTCAAAGCAATTATTGGCAAGTTGTTTTGTTTGCTGTGTGTGTGTGTGCTTTTTTAAATTTCTGCCATACTTTTGCAAACTTACTTGGCGCTTTCTTGCTTTGATGGCAGCTCAATAGACACCCAGGGACTGCAGCGGAGCAGCCCCTCCCTCGTGGATTCCCTCGTGCGTGCGTGCGCGTTTCAAGGCTTTCATCCAGGGCTTTGAATTGTGTTGTCAAAAAGTTTAGTAGGAGAAAGAGGAGGGGGCATGAGAACGCGAGTGTGCCTTGAAAAGTCTTGGAAATCGGTATATTTTGCAGGTGTAGAATGTGCCTAATAACCATGGCTAGTGCGCGCTCTCCAATGGCGAGGGTATGACAGGGGCAGCTGGCTCCATTTTCAGTGTGAAAACACCCCCTCCGTGGACCAGACACAACGACACTGACCTTTCGGCGGGAGGAACCAGAGATGTGCCTTTGACTGAATTAGCCATAAAGACGTCTTGCTATGACTTTTGTTCCCCACGAAAGCAAAGAAATATTGCGTTTAATATGAGGAGTACTGTTCACAGCTTTTCTGTGCTCCTTAAGAAATATTACAGTGCTGATTTACTGGTTCTCTCGAGTTGGCCCCAAGGCCGGCTGGGAGTGGGTGGCTGGGAGGGGGTGGGCATGGGGCTCTGAGGACGGAGGAGGAGGAGGCGGAGTTGGTGAGCTAAATTGCCTGATGCCTGTTTCCAAAGTTCCCTCTTTGGGGCAGCAAATTTATCAATCTTTTCATCTGACAATACTTTGAAATATATCATTGTCATCCCGAGTTGTTTGATAGATTATCTGCAGACACACAGCCTTTTCCAAGGTCAAGTTGAAGATTCTTGTTTGCTGTTTAACTGGGTTGTTTAAAAAGTCAGAACAATGCCTGCCTGTTAAAATTTTGCTTGTTCTCATGGGGGCATTTGAAAGCAAGCTTTCCTACTCACTCAAGTCTCTGGACAGTTCATCCTTTTAAAGTTAAGTTTAGCAGCCAGGGCTTAGCAATGAAATCAGAAATGAGATTTAACCTTACCACTTACAGATTCCAAAAGAGTATTTTTTTAAGCCATCTTTCATCATTCCTGAAAGTGTGTGCTAATTTTTCTCAATCTGTCATATTCAACTTTCTCACTTTATTCTAGTTACACACCCGTTCCTCTAAAGTAGAAAAGGCAAGGAAATTATGTCTACTCTTCTTTCTTTCTTTCTTTTTTGGTCAGAGTACAACCTGTTGCTCTGTGAACACTTTAAAAAATAAAGTTACTTTCAAAATTATGTTTATGAAGCTATTTATTCTTGTTTTACTTCAATAGCCAAGCTGGCTTCACAATTTCCTCTATATCTGTGATGATTGATTTTTTTTTGAATTCAACTAACTTTTATTTACCTTGCATTAATGTTCAGGGGGACCAATGTGATAAATTACAGATATGCAAATTTCTTTGAATGGTGCTGCAAGTGTGTCTAGCTAGAGCTGAATAACTCCTTGCAAGTCAGTCTGTGCGCGCTCAGGACCCCAGGGAGCTGATCAAAGCACCCATTCTCTTTCCTCCCCGGTATTCTCCTCCAAACTATTTCGATACAATATGTTTCCATGATGCACTTAATGTGCTAGGGACATAGAACTCATTACAACCTAGCTAGTTCTGCCGGCCTCTTTGTTCCACAGCAGAAAGTCAAAGAAAAAAGGGAAAGCGCTGCCAATTGCCAGCTTTCTGAAATGCTAAAGCATGCGTCATTTTTCACCAGGTCTCGTCTTGATATCCTCAAAAGACAAACTATGAAACCCGGCCTCAGCCCTTTCTAGCATTAATTACACTGCTGTCCAGAGGATCTGTTTTTTCTATTATATGCATTTCTCAGCAGGGATTTTTTTTGCAAGACTAATGCAGCTGCAGGTTAAACTATGAATGCATTTTTTTATCTCTATGGAAAAAAATAAGTGAAAAGGATGCAAAAAAAACCCAGCAAAACTTAAGGAGGGCTTTGGGAAGTGTGTAAGCAAGTTCTCTAAACCTGAAATAGACTGAGAGCCTCAGCGTTTTCAATTGTACCCAATAAGTATCTTTGGAGACACTTATTGTGCCATTTGAAGTTCTGTTTTGGTACCTAGATAAATCTCAAAAGTCCCCCTTTCTGGTTAAAATTCTGAAATTGAAACAATCTGTCCTGCCCCCAACCTGAAGATTGCTTCCAAGGAATTCAGGGCCAGGATAATGACACTGAGAATATAAATTTTATTTGATTTCCTTCGTTTCTTGTAGGGTTGATTGGTTGATGGAAATGGCTGGCAGCCAGTTCTGGGAAAGATTCCAGACCTGACTCCGATTAACCCTCTCTGGTGAAACTCTGCTGGAAACCAACACACCAGCAATTGCCATTAATCTACTTACTAATTAAGCCAATTCATTTCTAAAGGAGAAAAATTCCTTTCTTTAGCCAAACTGATGGGAGGAAATTTGAAAGAAGCGCCAAACTGTGTAACTGTAATTCAGCCAAGGACTGCTAAAACAAGGTGTTGATATATAGCAGCAGATTTAAAACAAGTTTCTAGGGCAACCCTCCTTTGGAGGCGGTGGCATATAGTGCACAGTAGATGAAGCTGGAATAATGCTCCACGGTGCTATGCCACCCCATGTCCTCGCCCTCAAAATAACATGTCTCTCTCCAATTAAATCGTGGTCCTTTTACGCACAAATAAATCGCTTCCCCAGCTTTCTTTTGGGCCTGAGATTGTCAGCTTTATGGGACAGCTACCACAAATCCATTTCTTGAGACTTAATAAATAGCCTTAGAAATTAGTAATTTCTACTTTAGGCTGTAGCTACTCACACAGGAGGGGCTGGAACTTAGAGCTAGGGCAACAAGGAAGGACCGAGATGAGCATTACGCACAGGGTGAGGGTGTGTGTGTGGGGAAGCCACCTGCCAGCTCAATAAATGGTACCTGGCTTTGGGGACCAAGGACTTTGACATGGGTCTTTCCAAGAAGTGAAACTCCAAAGTGTTTCCCACCTTACTAAAGAATTGTTTACTGTCTTTGGGTAGTGCTGGGCGGGTGAGAGAGCAGGGTGAACTTCCCCAAAGGCAATACAAAACCCCTCACTGAATCAGTTGACTAGTAAGGCAGCAGCGAGTCAGTTGGACTTGGTGTTGAGATATTGAATAAAGAATCAAGTACGTTCATGTCCCAAACTTTTTAATTGAAGGCCATATTTTCCCACTCTTAGGAGCTGAACAGATTTGATGACCCTTTAGGGTCTGTGTGCCCAGCATAGTGCAAACGGTGCATTCTATTGAAGTGCAATGCTCATGTTATAAAAACCAAAGTCTATTTATAAAAAGTGACTTGGCGATAAGATCCCTTGCCAGGATAATAAGCCTTGAGCCAGGCAGGTGGGAGAGGACAGGTCTTCGGTGATGCGCAGGTCAGTTTTCATTTGTGCCATTTTCATTTGAAGGGTTGACCTGAGTTAAAGACGACTTTGGGGATGGAAACTGCTTGGCTGAAAATGAGGAAAGGTGAACAGACATGAACTTGGTTGTACTTACTATCTGCCAGCCATTTCGCTGCCTCTACCCCTGTAAAACTTTACACCATTAAAAAAAAATGGGTTCTCCCATGCCTGGTCCAGTCAGCTGACAACCTTTTCAGTCATCTGGAAGAGAGGTCATGGGATGGGGGGCAGGGGTAGGTTAGGGACTCTGAATTTCCTTAGCTTTCCACATGACTCACACCTGCCAGGTTTCCCTCTGACGCTGGTTTCCCTGTCACCCCAGGCTATACCAACCACCTGAGGGCCTCAGGACAAAGACAGTTAATGAACTTTTGAGAATAGGCTTCACTGGAAGAGAAAGTTCTTTAATGTAGAAGGTTATCTCGTGTTTGGATCTAAGAATTCAAGTAGGAAATTTACCTAAGACTTCAATGTCCACTTGTGTTTTAATCTCTCTGCTATAGGAGATAGAAAATTATGAATGGGCCAAAATGGAAGATCCCGTCCATCCCCTCTCCCTCCAGCTGCGCTCTCTGGCCTGTAGGGAGGGTCATTTACCTGGTGGGGAAATAGTGAGGGAAGCACTGGGGGTCTGAGATAGGAAAGCTACAACACTGGTTATGATGTTCCTACTTTGAAGGCGAACAAAGGCCTTGAGCTAATCCCAGTGAATTCAAGAGCGTGAAGAAG